TGACAAAATTTTGATAATCTACCACCAAAAGCAGAAGTATACACGATTTGACTAAATTGAAGGTTCGAAGACCTAGGCTAGAGGGTTTCACTTCGCTAGTGTCAATATAGCGGTCACCTTGAACAGTCACGAGAGGCTCTTTATTTTACCAACCATAAATTCCATTACAAAGACAGAGCCAAGTCTTGCTTTTTATAAGCACACGAGTTAGAATGTTTTGTAATATATAAGTACAACCAAGACAACAATATTGGGGAAATATAGCACATTGGTATTCACATTTCTGTCACTCAAAATACGACAATATGCGATGACAAAAAATTATCAATTGTGAAAACCGGTGGTGAGGCGCTCACCCGACACCAATGATGCTCAATTGCGGATGCTCACCAACACCGTCACTGTCAGTATGCTTTACAGTTTGATAGGCTAGAAGAAGAACAGTCGAGAAATAAAAAGTAAACAAATTGAAAGGAATAAATAAGCACGTCAATATTTGAGTTGGAAGTTTAATAGTTGAACATCATGGAACAATTGTGAGATAAACAAAATCTATAACTTTAGACAAACAAAATATATTCATTAAGGTCAAATAATATCTTCATATTCATGTTTCAATTACATCCAATTCTTTAAATTTGGCAAATACCTATATATCAAGAACCATTCAGAAAGCATTCAAGATTAGAGAGTGGCAAGGTGCAAAATGTTACAAGAATTCAGCGCAAGTTATAAACTGCCATTTATCGTTTCTGGATGCATTAACCCTGGTGGGTGATTCTTGATAAGCATGGTTTCTATGAGCTCTTATAACGAGTGTGAGTGGAAGCTAGCCAAAACAAAATTGTAGAATGGATGTAAAATAAAATATAGGATGAATGGAACTTGCAGACAATCGTGACAGTTAAGCCCAATGAGCCCATATCGTAGAACATATAAGACTGGGCGGTCTGATTGAAGAACTTCCGTCGGAAGAGGCCATAATTCAATGCAACTGCGGTGTTTGAGTTTATCAGCTGAAGAACATCAATGTCAGCCATTTGAGCGGCCCGAATAACAGCACGGCGTTCAGCCTGACCGAAATGATAGGGCACTGTAATAACAGCCGTCTTGATTGACATTCCTAGCAGGTAGATAAAAAAA